CTTGAAGTGTAAACTTGTTTAATAAACCATATCTTTCATTTTCGATTTTTAATTCACGTAGTCCGGGAACTTTCCGGACAAACTGTGTATAGTTGAAGCAAATACTATTTTGTTACTTCAACAACTTTTTTTTCTCAGTGTATTAGCTCGCTTTTGGCGAGGCTGTCACGCAAACATTACGTGCTGACAAATTCAATATGACAAACAATAGTTTCTTTAAATATAAATTTTATGTAAGTTTATTTATACATTGTTATAGCTATTATATTTCTTAAATTTTTTTCGAAGGATTACTCGGTTTAAAAACAAATATATATACGTACAAGTGCAAAATGCATATTTTAATTAAGAGATAATTGAATGGAGAAATAAAGCGTGCAGGAATTTAAATTGTAATCGTAATCATATCAGCGGATGAATCGAGCGAGTGAAAATGGGCTCGATTTGCGTTTTGATTTTGCCCGCAGGCTTCCGGTGCCGTGGCTCCTGTACGGTTTGATCTATGGAAAACCCGTAGAAGTGAACTCGGTGGGCATGGTATGCAGCATAGCGATACTGTTCTGCATGCTGCTCTTCGTCATCATGAGCATCGCCTGCTTCAGATGGAAAATGAACAAGGGTCTCGGCTTCACAATGTTCATTCTCTATTTTGTCTTCGTTGCTGTCTCGTTGATGTTCGAGTATCAGATTCTGGTCTGCCCGGTGTAAGAGCAAGACAGAGTCGGAACGGCAGAGGTAAACCAAAAAAGCTCTTGCTTAGAGGACACGTCTGCGAAACCACACACGGACGCGCATTTACGGGTCTCGTCATCACATCATCGCGTCATCATATCGTCGTCGGCGAGTCTCGGCCGAGACGAGAGAAACTCTTCCCCGCGGTCGCCGCTTCGAGAGCCGAGGAGGAAACCGTGCCAGTCATTTAACACACATCTCCCTACTTTTCTGCAAGCACGAGGAAAATAAAAAAAAAATAATCTTAATGGTCGAAATTCGGCAATAGACAGAGAGCACCCCATTTACTCCCATCACCGAGTATCTCATCGGGTCAAAGCAAATTTTTGCATGTATACCTAACTGCAGAGGCAGTTTTTTTTGTTCCAGTCATGCGAGAGATGTACATATTTGTATAAAATCTGAAATACCTGAAACGAAATACTCGTCTTGTTAAGGATTATAAAAGACACCGAGCGCAAAGTCACTTCGCTCGGGATGCGCTGATTTTATTATTTAGGCACGGCGAGCGCGTTAGCTGATCGTGCCAAGGACCAACCGACATAATTTTTTATATTATTCGTGGAAGAATTTCTTGGCGCACGCGAATCTCATTTTTCACGATCTTTTGTCCCTTATTGTTTCTTTATCTGTATACTCTCTTTGGGTCAAGTAAGTAAATATGTCAAGCATTGAGACGAGATAATTATCAGTATTGTTCTTCTTTTTTTTTCGAAAAATTATTTAGACTTTTTTTGTATATAATGTACATACAACAGAGATTCTCTCACGAATGAAGAACGTATAACGTAAATGTTACGCGGCGCGACGTTCGTTTTCAACTGTAAATCATCGCGCTATCATCGGATAGTTGTGGGACTTGTGCATTTATTGAAAAACGTCACTGTCGTGCAAACCGACAAATACTTAGCAATAAATATCAGCAAGTTTTAGAAACAAAAAACAAAACGCGCGGAGTTTACTCTCAGCCAGTGTATAAAATACTCCTCTTGTAGAGCTTCTCTTCTCGTTTGACTCCTTGGCACGCTCACGTTCGTGAAATATATTACGGTATATATAATGTTAATCTCTTATAGGAGAGAGACGACCTGACCGCTCGCCGATTTTTTCTCTCAAAAAGCAGAACTCTCTTCGCCTCTAATCGTAGAATAGCGTTATACAACTTTACTCTCTCTCTGTTGTGCTCACGAAATTCAAATGTGATGCGATGCGCGGCTCACTATTTCGGTTCGATGATGGAAACGATGTAATTTACCCTCTGAGTTTTTCAAGTGTTTAACGATGTAGAATTCTTGTATGTTTTAATTTTTGTGTAACTAATTAAACCGATTTCCACTGTTTGCGCGAAACAGATTATTACATTTATACACAAAAAAAAAAAAACATCAGAAAGAGAAATTATTTTATTTCTTTCTGTGTGTTTGCAATTGTATAATAAATGTATTTTCGTAATATAACCGCGATTTATTATCAAGATGAAATTTGGGATTTGATCTCAATTTGACAAATATTATCTTCTTTGTTATATTCTCCGTCTGCGCGCTTTTTATTCGCGTGAAATATCCGAATTCATTAATTTGTTAAACGTTTAAACACTGATGTAATATCATATCTCAAACGAAACGGCTGACTATCGCATCGGATCTTTGACGTGCGATCGGAACGGATGTTGCTATGTGAATAAGATATATCGGTAAAGTATATAGATAAAAAAAAAAATAATTGGCGCATTTTCTATGCTTTGTTTTAAGATAGATCATTAGAGACACAAAGTGTTAAAAAGAAGTAAACCGGTTCTTCGAGTTAAAAAAAAAAATATGTTGGCCAAAGTTAAAGACGCAATATTATTCTCGATTATTTTAATCGTCTATTAAATGTTACCTGTCAATAAAGAGCGAATCCATCCGAAACAAAAATGCCGCAAGAAAATGTCTCGTTCGCGTAAAAAAAAAAAAAGCACTTGAATCCGCTTCCGAACGCGTGCGTTTCTTCTCTTATAACTCTTATTACTATTGTAACTATAATCTGTAAGCGATATGCGAAAAAGCAGACCTTCCTAAGTGCATAGAGAAAAACTGTTTATGCGAATTGCAAAAAAAACTTGGAACTCGGTGCGTCACGTGAGAATTCTCCGATTTGCGAGCAAAAAACAAAACTCGTGTCGTCGCTTGCATGATGTGCATTTTACGCGCGATCGAATCTTTGTTACGATATTTTCTCAGTCTAGAGAAATTATCGAGATAACTTGTCATGTGTAAAAAAAAAAAAAAACATGAAAAATTACGAGATGTACGAGTAGTAACACGCATTAAGGTACACAGTGCGCTCTCTGAAAAGCCGAAAGAAACAAGTGTGTGTGTTAAGTCGATCAATACAATTACACTTTCCCAAAAGTCCCATCACAGCTTGATAACTCTTCGAACTATTTTTTCGCTAAATTCTTACAAGTTTTCAACATTGCACCATACCTTTACTGAGGTATCGTTATAGAAAATATTTAATTATATTAACATTATAGCTGTTACGTGCACACAATGACTGTAAACGGGTAATACGAGCGAACAAGTTTACATAGGTGTGTATGTGTGTGAGAAAAGAGAAAGAGAAAGATAGAGAATAAGAGAAGAAAAGTAAAAAAAAGACAAAAGGGAAAAGGAGAACAAAAGTAGGAACGTGTATAGTTAAAAAAGCCCGCGCGTTAGATCAATTTTTAATTCCAGTTAAACAGAATCCGTGTTGTATAAAAGCGTTTGTAAAGAATATGTTTTAAGTGCATAAAAAGAGGAAGTAATAGTTATAATGTGATATCGATTGTATTACATACAAAAAAATGAGAGCGAAATGCTATTACTTACAGTTTCGAAAGATTATATAAAGAGGAATATATATATATTCGGTGTAGTCTAAATGCCTAAAACTGGCCTAGCATTTTATTAAACCCACAGCTGATGCAAATCACACGATTCATACGACGCGAAACAAGAGAAACAGATCGCGTAAATTATATAAGAACTTACTATGTTAATCGAAAGAAAGAAAAAGAGAAAGAGAGAGAGAGAGAGAGAGAGAGAGAGCAAAAATTTTAGATTATCAAAATCACTCGTACGTAGTGAAAATTTCAGCGACGAAACATACATATATACAAAGAACATATACTGTATACATATAATTATACATTCGTCGTATTTTTGTATGTTGTCCTGACGTTGCAGGCAAGGAGAACGGTCTGCGGTTGTTGCTCTAGCGGTGCCTTTTTTTGCAATAAAAGTTCTTAGAATCGCGTGATAAAAAAAAAAAACAAAAAAACCACAAAAAGATTGCGCCTATATGGCAACTGCCGATTAAAATTCTAAACTCAACATTTTTTTTTTTTTTTTTTNTAAACTCAACATTTTTTTTTTTTTTTTTTTTGTTTCTACAAACTTTCTTGGTGTAACTTTTTTTTGACATTTTTCTCAGCACAATTAAGAAATTTATATCTAAAGTAGAACTTCGTGTGTGACAGAAAGAGCAACTTACAGCGCGCTTTCTTCAAGCAATTGTTAAAGCGGCTGCGCGATTTCAGATACCCCCGAAAATGAGATCGTCGCGCCAACGTTCAAATCATGATAAAAAACGGATGAACTTTTGCGCGCTCGGCATGCGGAGCGCGATCTAAATCATTAGTGAAAAAAACACAAACTTTCGTGACGTCGAACATAAATGGAGAAATGTGTGTTTCGCGAGTTGAGAGGGAAAAGAGAGGGGAACTACTGTGCCGAAGCACTTTAACGCCGTGGTGTACGAGGCACGAAAGGGATTAGTCCGTCAGTCTCTCTCTTTTGAGCGAAACAAAACGAAAGCGGATTAGCGAAGGAATCGCGTGATAAGTCGAAGGTCGAGTTGAACGGCTCGAAGCGCAGCGGTGTTCCACGTAATTTATGCTTTGTAATACATTGGTAGGACAAACACCGATGAACGTTAATGAAAAAGAGACAGAGACTCACTTTATTTTGGTTTTGCTTTATCGGTTTTACTTTTTTGTCGAAAAACTTGGCTCGAGAGATTTGTTTCTTTCGTAATTCGTCCGGACGCGTGTAAGAAATATATATATATTCCTGTATAACTTGTTCAATAACATTTCTTAGCTCTTTCAAACGTCTAAATATATAAAAATGTCTTAAATGAGTACGACACGACACTCTATTTCAATATATTTGAGCTCGAAAATCTCTGTTATATCAAATACGCGTGTTGTACATTTATACAAAAGAAACCGTTCGACCTACTCCTTGCGTTGTAAAAATTGTCAGGATACACGGCACTTAGACATGAAAGAGAAAGAGAGAATGTGTGAGAGAGAGAGAGAGAGAGAGAGGAAAAAAAGAGACATTTAAATGCACGCACACATACACACGCGTAACTTTATGTTCGAGAAGTGAACGCGACGACAAAAGTGTGCTTTCGAAAAATGAAAATTGTTCCGATTTGTTCGAGAAGAGAAGTTTATTGATAAACACACATACAACGCAAAGTGACCAATACCGCTATTGTACGACGAAGGGTATGACAAAGTCATGTCAGAAAAAAAAAACGGAAAAGTAAACGAATAAATTTCCACCAGTCAAGTGTATTCAACCCGAAACAGTATAATCACAGTACTTCGATAAACTCTTTTCTTGATTTGTGAGAGCGTCGTGTAAAACCTTTGAAAGATACACATACACACACACACACACACACACACACACACACACACACACACATAAATTATCTTTTTTAAAAACGTTTACAAACGATCTTTTATTTTTCCAAAAAGTGGCTTTCGAGACTTCTATTCGCGTGACGAAAAAAAAAGAAATATCTATTGTTATATATACGTAGAATTTGTTAGACCCTTTTATATTTTTATGCAATACGTTGTACTGTTTAGAGTTGATGATAGCTATTGTTATCTTACGGATACACGGAAATACCCGTCGCACGTTCGTGTAAAAAGAAAAACAAAAAACACGTTCCAAACTTAGACGTTAAGCGATGTTAAGAGTTTAGTTGATTTCGTACTTTTTAACGTAGCCTTTCGAGAAAAACTGTAGAGGAATTTTTACATCGGTGACGAGGTCGCGGTTTTAGATTAGAGTCGGACACGCGACGAGCGCGACGATCGAAACAATCCTTGAAAAAAAAAATTCGGCGAGTTGTTAAAAAAAAGAGGCCGAGTGACAAATCTGTTCTGTAGCATCGATCAATCGGTATTATAATATACAAACCTAAGACCGCTGTTCTTTCGATCGTACATCATGACGTAATAATGACGTTACGTACTCGTGAATATAAAACTATAAACGCGGGGAAACGACAGAATAATAAGAAAAAAAAAAAAAAAGGGACACAAAACGCACGCTGTGAAAGATCGAACAAGATCAAACGCTTCGAATATTTTCTTGGCATTGACAAAGCGCGAACGCACATATCAAAGAGAGAATGTTGAATATATGATAAAACTGATTACTTAATAGTATTATTAGTGAGTTAAGTCGTAAGATAATTAGATGAGATTATATAACAAGCGTTGCAAGAGAGAAAAAAGTTTCTATGATTATAGATTATATATAAATATATATATATATATATACACACACACACAAATATATATATATATATACACATATATACATACATATACATGTGTATATATATATATATATGTATATATATAATTGTTTGCAAGAGTTATATATATAAGTTGGATCATCGACCGATTAATTGAAATTTACGTAAACACTGAGAGGGAATGAAATGTTTCGCGATACATATATATATACCAGAACGACTGGGGCTTTGTTGGGAAACAACCAACATTGTGTGGCTGTTATATATATTTACGTTAATAAATATATATAACGTAAAACTACGGAAAGATCTCGCGTTTCTCGGGCTTTTCTTTTGATATGTATTTCATTCTATTGTCGCCATCTTAATATTGCGTCGCTCATAATATACATAAAAATAGGGATGTACCCCCCGTCCATCGCCGCAGTATATAGTAGAATTTACGGGATATTACGACGCGCGTAGAGAAAAATCACTTTAGATCACCGCAGAGTGCTAGAAAGACCGAAAAAAAAAACAAAAAAGCAAAGCGAGAGAGGAGATTATACATATAAATTATATACATATAAATATATAAATATGCAAATATATATATAAATATGTAAAGTATAATCTAACGTTGTATATGTTCACGTCGATGATTCCGCGAAGATGGAACGTTTTTATTACAGTAAAACGAATTTCGTTTCTTGATGTTCGTAAAGAAAAAAAGATACGTCTTTGACGCGTTACTTAGTACGGGGCCGGAATATGATAATCGTTTTATGCGTGTAAAACGAGACATAGTATGTTTTGCGCGATAAATCGCTTCTTGCGCACGAGCGACGATTTAGAATTAAGTTTCGCTGCTTATCGATTACAAGAGAACGGAAAAATTATATATAGAAGTGAGAGAGAGGAATAAAGCATCAACGACCACGTTCCAAAGTTCGCGCGGGACGAATCTCAGCTTAAAAAAAATTAGAGATCGCGTAACGAGTTTAACGTAACGGAACTAATCGCAAGCATATAAAAAAAGTCATAACGGACAAAAAAAACCACTTAAAAAAAAAAAAAAGAAACATGCTGATGTTAATAGAAGCCGTGGGGTCAGCGTCGGGAGTTCAAAAGCCAATTCCGCCGCTCT